TGTACAAGTGTCTCATGGCTTAGAATTCGATAAACTGCATTCTCAGCTTCGGATCGCTTAAACACATGGTGAGAGAGGCCGCTGAATCATCGTCACAGCAGGCTTAAAAAGCAGCGAAATGCGTGGCGAGCAGCAAAAAACAATAGTGCGAGCACAAATTCAATTGATCTTTCCTCACGCCCGGCAGTCAACGCCGGGTTCACTCGGATATAATTCAGTTATGCGAGTCCGTAGCCAAACCAACGTCAACTCATCCAAGCTGGCGTGATAACTGATATAACTCACACTGGTACAGGTCAACGAAGCCAAGCATTGAAACCGCATACATAATTTCCACTGCTGACTCATGCAGTACTTCAGCACTTTTCAATTAGTGCATACATAATTTAATAAAAGCTCGTTCAAAACATTTATAACTAAGAAACGAGCCGTGTCGCCAACTACATGTATCCCGGTGATCTTAGTATGAATGGAATATCTCTGTAAGGACGTAAGAAGGCAGGTAAAGAAAAATTTTGAAATGAAGTCTCAACAGACATAAGGTTTGTTAAGACAACGGGTGGCCTCAGAATGTGCAAGTATATGGAATCTGGTTACGCCTAGGAGGCCGAAGAGGAAATGTAAGTCGACGCGTCAAAGGTCAAACTAAGGTGAAGGGCAGTGGTGGTTTTTGGTAGCGACAGGACCTTTCTCCCTCAATGTGTAAGCATACCAAGTTTGGTGCGCAGACAACAATCCAAAGGTCAATTAGGGCCGAGTTAGAGAGCCGGACGGCGAAATTGTTAAGGTCAAGGTAAAGTGCTAAATTGAAGGTCGCAGTGACCTGGTTTTGGTACTGTGCAACGCTTCTTCCCCAAGATGCAAGGTGCGTTAATGTAAAGCAAAGATGCCAATGTTTTTGGTGTGGCAGAGTCATCCGTTGCCGATGGTAACAAATTTTTTGGAAATATTGTAGAACCTGCTAACTTGTGCTGTTTTTACCCGATTGTCATGGATTTGGCACACCAGGGCGATATAACATGTCCCATATATATTATATGTATATAATTGGTCCTGTGCTGCCAAATTTCATGGACAATCGTGCGTAAAAACTGCAGAAGTTACAGGTTCTAGAATATTTCGACAAAAAATGTTGTTACCATGGCAACCGATTACCCGCACCACCAAAAACGTTGGCGTTTCGTTTATATGATAAGCGACCTTCATGGGCGAAATTTGAAGATGATCAGAAAACTGCAGGCCGGTAGAAGCGCTCACAAGGAATCTCTGCGGGCGGCGGCGGCGCGCGAGGCCATAATCCACTAGTATCCCCCGCGAACGACTCGGGAGTACAATGATGCAGTCCCGGTAGGCTAGCATACTACAGCATGACGGGTAGATATTTTACAACTCAACTTACGCATGTAATGAATGGTAATGCTGATAGAACATTTCCTTGGTTTCTCTCTCTGAAAAATACATAAAAAAAATTATACACTCAATATTTCAGAGTTATTGGTATTCAACACATGATATGGATGTGAGTTAATATGTGTTGTTTTACATTATTGTTGTATAGAGGTTATGCAAGATCAATTTAATGATGAAACATTATTTCCCATCTTTGTTGTATCTGAACTGAAAGAAAATGCATTCACGCAGCGCATTTAGAGAGCAGTGTACATTTAATCAAGAATTTGACGAACACTTATGACTAAAGGCATAGATTAAGTAATTACAGCTGGCTATGAGTTTGGAAGCATTTACTCACTCCACCATTAGTGCACACGATGATAAATCATTGAAATTCTATTGAGTAACGTCGCAGGCCTATGAAAGCAATAGTGCCGCCCTGAGCGGCACTATTGCTTGCGCGACGCGATTGTTATTATAACACAAATTTGTTGGTTTACGTCACGACATGGAAATGTGAATGGAATGGAAATGGAATTTGGGAAGGAATAGTAGCTTCGCTACACGCTGGGCACTATACTTCCTCAAGCAACAGCTATGAGGCATAAGTGGCCGCCCAACAACCGGCGGATTATGGATATAAATGTTTGCACATGCCTGAATCTGACTAGCTAGCTACGCATTATGAAATGCTGAATTACTCGGCTGACACTTTCACCGAATTTGTGTGATACGCGTGATAACATATTGCAGATTTAAATAGAGGAAAAAACATTCCCCCTCCCACTATCCTGATGGTAGGAAGTTAGTCGTTAATCTGTAAAAGCAAGCTCAACTTGAAATATTGGAAAATATAAGAACTAGAAAGGCGCAGTTAGTTCGCCAACTACAATGTATCCCCCGTGTTCTCCCCAAGATGTGTAAGTATACGAAGTTTGGTTGTGCTAGGCTCCAATTAGGGGCCGAGTTATAGAGCGGAAGGAATATGATGAAGGTCAAGGTCAATGTCAAATAAGGTGCAGTGATCTGGTTTCGTGTACGCGACACACCTCTCCCCAAGATGTGTAAGCTATACAAATTGTGGTCGCGCTAGGTCAATTAGAGGCCCGTTTTATAGAGCGGAATAGGAAATATGTCAAGGTCAAATAAAGGCCCAGTGACCCCTGGTTTTGGTACGCCGGGATCACCTTCTCCCCAAGATGTGTAAGTATAACCAAGTTTGGTAGCGGCTAGCTCATTAGGGGCGAGTTAGAGAGCGGCAAGGGAATTGTCTGCGGCGGCAGCGGCGGCTGGGTAGACGCGTGAAACCATTAGCCCCGCCGACTTCGTCGCGGGCGGAGTACAAATACTGTCTGTTATGGTGGCTTTTGAGAATGCATCCCTCTCTGACAATGAATTACACAGCTTCACTGATCTTGGAAAGAAGGAAATAGGATTTATTGGAGTGTTTCATATTTTAAAAAACGCCTCCACTATTCAAATCGATTTTGCCTTTTAAATAACACTAGAAGGAAATCAGATGCAGGGCTGTAACTTGTTCTGTGATACAGCTTGCGTTTGTATTTTGCGGTGCGCCGAGTGCGTGCCATGTTGCATGTGTTGTGTGTGTGTTGTGTGTTGCACTATGATAAATACAGTAAAAGCTCATGCATTAGCATAACAGTAATAAAACCTGCGCATGACATTGGCTGTTCAAATTCATAAGAAGCAGTTGAAGTAAATTGACACTGGCATGTACTAAGCTTTGATAGGTGTCAGAGGTATATGAGATCTGCCCCTAGGCCTGACATACTGCAGTTCATTGTGCCCAGTGCCAGGGCCATGGAAATAGCTGCGAGCAATATCCTACCATTCAGCAAGTTTTTGGTAGTAATAGCTTTAGATCCTAGTGCAGGACATACACAAATGTGAACAAACATAGTTTTTTAAGCAACCTAATATTTTAGTCGCACGCTCTTGGTGGCCAGAAATCACTGTCATTTTCGTCTTTTCGAGCAATATTATAATAAAAGGTCACAGCTTAAATTAAAGCGATCACTGGACAGAATTTTATACCACATCTTAAAATTTTTGTATTTGATACTAGCTGACCTTTGCATTCTTGCACTATTTAATCAATTTTTACTACAACCCCATATTAATATTTTAATAAGATAGACCATGCTAATTCTTTCTGATCATTGTGGCAGATGAAAGCACACATGTATAATATGCTTGGCTGACAGAAATAAGTGAATAAACCATAATTCAAATGTCCAGATAATACAAACTATCTTCGTTGAAAATGAATGTGTGTAACCTAAGTACGTTACCTTTCTGAACATGACCTTTCTAATATGCAAGCATTAGAAAAAAAATTTGATTTGCAGCGTAACAGTTGGTAGATTCAGGGGTGCCTTTGCTTGCACACTGATGCTATACTGCACGGCCTAACCATAATGACACGTGAGACTACACTCCTCGTGTCTATACACCGCTTTAGCAAAGGTATAAGGCAAGAACATCAGTTAAATTGCCTGGTTGTCCGCCGGTAACACTTTAGCGATAGCCTCATCCCCCTATGAGCAGGTGGACTGAAGCGACTACATGCCAGAGCTAATGAGGCTGTGAGAGGGGTTAATTGTGCCCGGGTACGTCGGAACTACTACCCTGGTACTATCTAATATGCCGGACGCGTACCTCGCCACTCCACTAACGAGTCTAGGAGTCGCCTACGCCTACTCCCAACCCGATAACCCTAACATATCAGATGTTACCGCAGGTACGTCCCGGCAGTACCCTGGGGGACATCTATATATAGACCCTATGAGAGCTAATGAGTGTGACTATACAAGCAGCTCTATTTTTGTGGTGCTATAATTATAATATATATATATATTTAATTATAATATATATATAATCTCGTAATTTCGTAATGGTAGCTGTTCATGGTTCAAGGGAATACAACGTCACCCAGATCGGTAGATCGGCAGTGTGAACACATATATGTTTTACGACAGAATAAACATAAAAGTTAAGACAAGTGTGTACAAGATAGTATGATAGAACAGAGGGGGCTGATAATGTGTCAGTATGTGCAGCGCCGAGTTCAAATTAGTTTACAAGGAATCTCCGGATATTCAGCTACTGTGGCAGATACTACTATATCTACCGGTAAATATTAATTAGAAAATCGCACACGAAGGTACTATAACTAGTAATAGTATTTTTTTTTCTAGTAACGTGCCAGTTATTGGCCAGTGTAGTGCAGTGTATTGGCGGTTACTGGTAGTATCGCACGCGGTCAGTGCTGACCACAATTCCCGGGGGGGGGAGGCATCCATATATATTGCATAGTAGGTATGTGCCGCAGGGAGAGACCACCCTTTCAACCCTAAAACTTCGTTCAGCTGCATCTCATTTTACAGAATATCTCGCTTCAGAACATCAACAGAGTTTAGTTACCGTCCAGATCTTACATTTTGCCGTCCGGAGACCGCTACGTTTACAAATAATCTAGTTTTAGTAGTTTAGTATCTTAATTAAAGACTGAAGCTAACTTTCAAGGATGGTTTGGTTAACTTACTTTCAAGTTTTTTGCTGTCCCCGTGCGTGGGTGCGTGCGGCGCGTGAAGGTGGTGCGTGCGTGCGGGAGGGTCGTGCTCGTGCGGTCATCTCTGTCTGGGTTCAATGTTGTTTCTCTCCTCTAACATAATATCAATCAAAATTTATTGGTTCGTGCTCTCAGCATAGATTAAAGGCAAATCACAGTTCCACCCACTGTTCCGGAGGTCTACGGTCAAACTGGCCACCTGCCAACTCGCACCCGCGATTGTCGCAGTTTCACGCGTCTGGCAGATCGGTGGAGCTACGGCTCGGGCGGATGGAGTCACCCCTGGAAATCGATGAGTGCGCCTCGCGGCGCTAACTCGTGAGATGTCACAGCGCCCCAACGTCGAAACGTTTGCAATGTAGTTAGTACATTGATACAGCGCCACGGGTATATCATATATATCAGCGAGTAGAAATAGGGAGAAGTGTGGACATCAATAAAAACAAGGGAAATTCGTCATTTATAGCCTTATAATACCTACGATTTACTACACGTAACCTCATCCAACTTGAGCTCAATCGGGAGCACAGTACAATTCGCACATTATACGTACGAAATGCGTTTCCTCGTGACAACCGCCAATCGTAGATACAGGCTCTAAAACGTACGACACGATTCTCCATTCTCTGGCCTCCAATCCAACCATTGCGCGCGCTATAATCACCCAAAAGAGCCCTACCTAACGCCGCTATTGCTACACTGAGCGGAAGGCATGTGGCCGCGGGGAGATTAGGCATCAACACTCGGCGAGATAACCTTTGACCCGGTACACAGCTACACAGGCCACCTTTGTACATAAGCTGGCATGCTTACGCACGCTACGCCAACCAAATGATTAGCTCGTCGAGTGTTGCGTCGATCTCCAATTTCCCGCGAGCCACAACGCCACATTCAGCTATCCGAGAGAGCAAACGTACAGCGACTGCGCGCCAGTTGCTGCCTTTTGTCTGAATTATAGCGGGCGCAATGGCGTTGGATTAATGGCCAGAGAATGGAGAATCGTGTCGTACATTTTAGGCTGGTATCTACGGATTGGACGGTGTCTATGAGGAACGATTCGTACGATGATGGCGCGAATGTACTGTGTCCGATTTGAGCTCAAGTTGGATGAGTTACGCGTAGTAAATCGTAGGTATTATAAGGCTAGTAAATGACGAATTTCCCTTGTTTATTGATGTCACACTCCTCCCTATTATCTACTCCTGTATATATAATATATATATTTTATTTGTTTATTTATTTATTATATATATTATATATATATATATATATATATATATATATATATTATACCCGTGCACCGATTCTCCAGACGAGTGAACTCGCCACACGTGCAATTGGCTGGTGGCCCGAATTGACCGTAGCCCGTCTCGGAGACCCCGTCTTTTAAATGTTGTCCAGTTCCATATAATCATTGCATGTCAACGAAATCCTAGTTCCGGAGACCCGCATTTTCGAACACTGGCCAGTTCCAGAGCACCCACATTCAACAAAATATTAGTTCCAGAGACCCAATTTTTAGGTCTGTGTTAGTTCCAGAGCCCCCATTTTTGATTTCGCAGTGGGCACATACCTACCATAATGTGGGGTGAGTGCCCCCCCCCCCACTGGGCACAATTTCAACCTTTATTTGACATTGACTTTGACCTTCATCATATTTCCCTTCCGCTCTATAACTCGGCCCCTAATTGACCTAGCGCTACCAAACTTGGTATACTTACACATCTTGGGGAGAAGGTGATCAGCGTACCGAAACCAGATCACTGCAACCTTTATTTGACATTAACTTTGACCTTCATCATATTTCCCTTCCGCTCTATAACTCGGCCCCTAATTGACCTAGCACAACCAAACTTCGTATACTTACACATCTTGGGGAGAACACGGGGGATACATGTAGTTGGCGACAACTGCCCTTTTTAGTTTCTTATATTTTCCAATAATTTCAGTTGAGTTGTTTACAGATTTAACGACTACTTCCTACCATTCAGGTAGTGGGAGGGGAATGTTTTTCCTCTATTTAAATTTGAATATGTTATCACGTATCACACAATTCGGTGAAGAGTGTCACCGATTATATCAGCATTCATAATGCTGTAGCTTGCTAGTCAGATTCAGGCCATGTGCAACATTGGTGGATGAGTAATGCTTCCAACTCATAGCAGCTTTAATTACCTTAATCTATCCTTAGTCATAAGTGTTCTCAAATTCTTGATTAAATTTACACTGCCTCTCTAAATGGTCTGATGTAATGCATTTTTCCTTTCAGTTTCAGATACACAAAAGATGGGAAATATGTTTCCAATTAAATTGATCTTGCATAACCTCTATCAAACAATAATATAAAACAAACACATATTAACTCACATCATATACGTGTGAATACAATAACTGAATATTGAGTGTATTATATTTTTTTAATTGTATTTTTCAGAGAGCAAACCAAGGAAATGTTCTATCATGCATACCATTCATACATGGTAAGTTGAGTTGTAAAAATCTACCCGTCCATGCTGTATGTATGCTAGCCTAGGGACTGCATCATTGTATCCCCCGAACTCGTTCGGGGGGATACTATGGATTTGGCCTCGTCGCGTCGCGCCGCCGCCGCAGAGATTTCCTTGTGAGCGCTCTACTGGCTGCAGTTCTTCTCGGATCATCTTCAAATTTCGCATGAAGGTGCGTTATCATAAAACGAAGACGCCAACCGTTTTTGGTGTGGGCGGAGTCATCGTTGCCATGGTAACAACATTTTTTGTCGAAATATTCTAGAACCTGTAACTTCTGCAGTTTTTACCCGATTGTCAATATTAGATAGTTACCAGGGTACGTTCCGGCAGTACCCTCGGGGACATAGACCCTCTCAGCCTCATTAGCTCTGCATGCAGTCGCTTCAGTCCACCTGCTCATAGATGAGCTATCGGCTAAAGTGTTACCGGGGACACCAGGCAATTTAACTGATGTTCTGCTATACTTTGCTAAAGCGGTGTAAGACACGAGGAGTGTAGTCTCACTGTCATTATGTTAGCCGTGCAGTATAGCATCAGTGTGCAAGCAAAGCACCCTGAATCCTAACCAACTTTTACGCTGCAACAAATTTTTTTTTCAAAATGCTTGCATATTAGAAAGGTCATGTTCAGAAAGGTAACATTACTTACGTTACACACATCATTTCAACGAAAGATATTTTGTATTATCTGGACTATTGATGTATGTATTCACTTATTTCTGTCAGCCAAGCATATATACATGTGTGCTTTCATCTGCCACAATATCAGAAGAATTAGATGGTCTATCTTATTAAAATACTTAATATGGGGTTGTAGTAAAAATTGATTAAATAGTGCAAGAATGCAAAGGTCACTAGATCAAATAAAAAATATTTAAGATGTGGTATAAAATCTGTCAGTGATCCTTTAATTTTAGCTGTGACCATTTTATTATAATATTGCTCAAAAGACTGGAAATGACAGTGATTTTCTGGCCACCAAGAGGTGGACTAAAATATTAGGTTGTTAAAAAACTATGTTTGTTCTACATTTGTGTATGTCCTGCACTAGGATCTAAAGCTATGTACTACCAAAACTGTGAATGGTAGGATATTGCTCGCAGCTATTTCCATGCCTCTGCACTGCAGTACAATGAACTGGCAGTATGTCAGGCCTAGGGGCAGACTCTACCTCTGACACCTATCAAAGCTTAGTACATTGCCAGTGTCATTTACTTCAACTGTTCTTTTTGAATTCTGAACTGCCAATGTCATGCGCAGGTTTTATTTCACTTTATCTAATCAATGAGCTTTTACTGTATTTACATAGTGCACACACACACACACACATGCAAACATGCACGCACTCGCGCACGCGCATACAAACGCAATCTGTATCACAGAAAAGTTACAGCCCTGCGTGATTTCCCTCTAGTGTTATTTAAAAGGCAAAATCGATTTGAATAGTAGAGGGTTTTTAAAATATTGAACACTCCAATAAATCCTATTCCTTCTTTCCAAGTCAGTGAACTGTGTAATTCATTGTCAGATAAGGGCATGCATTCTCAAAAGCCACATAACAGACATATTTGTATCCCCCGCGACGAAGTCGGCGGGGATACTATGGTTTCATGTCTCCCCAGCCGCCGCTGCCGCCGCAGACAATTTCCCTTCCGCTCTCTAACTCGGCCCCTAATTGACCTAGCGCTACCAAACTTGGTATACTTACACATCTTGGGGAGAAGGTGATCCGCGTACCAAAACCAGGTCACTGCGACCTTCATTTCACCTTTACCTTGACCTTGATCATATTTCCCTTCCGCTCTCTAACTCGGCCCCTAATTGACCTAGCGCGACGGGCAAATTGTATCTTACAGCACTCTTGGGGGAGAAGGGTGTCCGCGTACGAAACCAATCACTGCAACCTTTATTTGACATTGACCTTGACCTTCACATATTTTCCTTCCGCTGCTACATAACTCGCCCCTAATTGACCGTACGCACACCAAACTTCGTAATACGCTTACACCATCTTGGGGAGAACACGGGGGATACATGTAAGTTGGGACAACCTGCCCTTTTAGTTTCCTTATATTTTTCACATAAATTTCAGTTGAGTAGTTTTTACAGATTTACGACTACATTCCTACTATTCAGGAAGTGGGAGGGGAATGTTTTTCCCTCTAGACTTTAATTTGCGAATATGTTATCAACGTATCAAAACAATTCGTGAAGAGCTGTCCCGCGATTATATCAGCATTGCATAATGCTCGTAGCTGAGCTAGTCAGATTCAGAGCCATGTGGCACATTTATATATTAATGGCGTTGTTGGGGGCAGCTCATGCTCTTCCATAGTGTTGGCTGAGCCGGAAGGTATATCGTGCCCGGAGCGGTAGCGAGGCCACTATTCGCTCTCCGCAAATTCATTTCCATTCGCATTCGCCGTTTCGCATTCCGTGACTGCTACACAATGTTGTTATAATAAAAATGGCGTCGCGCAAGACAATAGTGCCACGCTCAGGCGGCGCACTATTGGGCTTCATAGGCCGCGACGTTATCCAATCAGATATTTCAATGATTTATACGCTCGATGCACTAATGGTGGATGAGCCTAATGCTTCAACTCCATACGCTTGTAAGTTACCTTAAATCTATCCTTAGCTGCATAAGTGTTCTCTCACCATTCTTGATTAAATTTACACTGCCTGCTTACACATGGTCTGGTGTCAATGCATTTTTCCTGTTGCCAGTTTCAGATACACAAAGGATGGGAATATGTTTCATTTAAATTGATCTTGCACTAACCTCCCTATCAAACAATAATGAAAACAAAACACTATTAACTCACATCACTATCATGTGTAGAAGTAGCAATAACTGAATATTCGAGTGTATTATATTTTTTTTTAATTGTATTTTCCAGAGAGGCGCAAACCAAGGAATGTTCTAATCACTGCATACCATTCATTACAATGGCTACCTCTCGACCGTCTCTAAACAACTCTACCGCGTCATGCCCGCCTACTGCTATGCCTCAGCCTAGGGACTGCATCATTTGTCTCCCCGACTCGTCGGGGATACTATGGATTTGGCCCTCGTCGCGCCGCGCCGCCGCAGAGATTTCGCTTGTGAGGGCTGCTACGGCTGCGCAGTTTATCTTGATTCATACTTCAAAATTTACGCATAGAAAGGGGCGTTAAATCATCCAAAAACGAAGCACTGCAACCGTTTTTTGGTGTGTGCGGAGGTCATCGTTGCCATGGTCAAACAGTTTTTTGTCGAATAGTTCTACGAACCTGTTAACTTCTGCAGTCTTTTACCGAAACCGATTTGTCATGGAATTTTGGACACACAGGACCACTATATATGCATATATAATACTATATAGGAGCATCGTTATATCGTCCGCTGTGTGCCAAATTCCATGACAATCGGGTAACAACAGCACAATTACAGTTCTACAATATTTCCCACAAAAATGTTGTTACCATGGCAACGATGACTCCTGGCCCACACCAAAAACTGATGGCATCTTTGCTTTACCATAACGCACCTTGGCATCTTGGGGAGAAGGTGTGCACAGTACCAAAACCAGGTCACTGCGACCTTCATTTCACCTTTACCTTGACCTTAATCATATTTCCCTTCTGCTCTCTAACTCGGCCCCTAATTGACCTAGTGCCACCAAACTTGGTATGCTTACACATCTTGGGGAGAAGGTCTGTCGCATACCAAAACCACCACTGCCCTTCACCTTAGTTTGACCTTGACCGTCGACTTACATTTCCTCTTCGGCCTCCTAGGGTAACCAGATTCCATATACTTGCACATCTGAGGCACACCAGTTGTCTAACAAACCTTTGTCTTTGAGACTTATTTAAAACTTTACCTGCCTTCTACGTCCTTACAGAGATATTCCATTCATACTAGATCACGGGGGATACATGTAGTTGGCGACAACTGCTCGTTTCTAGTTTTGAACGAGCTTTTATTAAATTATGATGCACTATTGAAAGTGCTGAAGATACTCGCATGATTCAGCAGTGGAAATTAGTTATGCGGTTTCGATGCTGCTGCGTTGACATGTACCAGTGTGAGTTATACAGTTACACGCCAGCTGGATGAGTTGACGTTGGTTTGGCTAGGACTCGATAACTGAATTATATCCGAGTGAACCCGGCGTTGACTGCGCGGTGCAGGAAAGATCAATTGAATTTGTGCTCGCACTATTGTATTTCTCTGCTCGCCACCCTGTCGCTCGCTTTTCTAAACCGCGTGAGCGATGATTCAGGGCTCTCTCACCATGTTTTTAGCATCCGAGCTGAGATGCAAGTTATCGAATCTAGCCATGACACTTGTACATTGAGCCAGCTGAATGATTTGCTTATAGAATTTGGTACCACTTATATCGTGCAACTGACATTATATATTAGATATTGGTTTATTATTCAGCTGTAATGTTGCACGTAGTTAAATCATTCTCTATTTGGATTTGCCAGTTAGTGTTGTAAAATCGCCAAAATTGTTTATTTATTGCATTTTGTAAGTGTACGGGTGTGCCAGCTATAGTCCTAGCGGTCTATACGTCTCAACATTGTGGCGCTCACGTCACTCATCTGGGGAGTATTCTTTTCCAGGACAATGCCTATCCGGCAGATGAATTGATGTCACTAAGTTGTAAAGGGCGCTACAGGGGCTCTGAAGCAACTAGGGGTGATGTTGACGATTCGTTAGGAAAGTAAGTAGCTGTGATACAGTATCGACAGTTTGTGTAGCCGTGTTTCACCATATACGTTCAGATGCTAATAATGATAATTTGTCATTATTAGCTCCTGATACGTTGTAATGTATTTTTAGGATAAAAACAAATTATTTTCCTTTTTCTCCTGATATATCTATCTATATCTATCTTCTCTCTCTCTCTCTCTCTCTCTCTCTCTCTCTCTCTCTCTCTCTCT